CAAGAACATCCTGTTTCAAATGATGACCCAGAAAACCACACTGATGGCAGTGATGGCCAGCCCTGAGGTCTCGTCCCCGCCACCGTGTCGACAGTTTTAGTAGAACCACTCAGCGAAGGTGCTGTTCAGATAAAGCCAAAAGCCACGCCAACAAACCTTTCCTGAGTGCTGCTTTGAGCAAGGCGCAGGCTAGGTTCAGAGAAGGGAGCGCAGGCACGAGAACCTTATTTATCTCACCCTGGAGCCGCTTAAATCTGCAAAGCAAGACACAAGAAAATCATGACGTGACATGTCAATACAACATTTAGAAAGCTCCAGATGAGACGAGTAGAGCTGTCACTGTCCTTCGGCAGGTTTGTAGCCTGTCTGTCTGTGCTTCTTTCCGTATCAGTAAAACGGGGACAAAATTGTACTCAGCTCATGAACTCTTAGTGAGGGCCTGATGAGAGAGTGCAGATCAAGTGCCCGTGCCAACACCCAGGACGTGATACGCACTCAGCACATATTCACAGCCATCACCGTTGTTATCATTGTGGTCACAGGTACGTACTGTGCCCATTGCCATAGGAAGCACATTGGTTGAAGTTTCTGTAGGAGTTTAGAAGTGAGCACTTCTGGAGACAGGTGCGGTAGCTCATGTCTATAATCCCAGCATGTTGGGAGACTGAGGTGGGGGAATCACGTGAACTCGTTTGAGACCAGCCTGGGCAAGACGGCAAGACTCTGTTGCTACAAAAAAGAAAAAAAAATTAGCCAGGCGTGGTGGTGCACACCTGTAGTCCCAGCTACTTGGGAGGCTGAGGCAGGAGGATCCTTTGAGTCCAGGAGGTTGAGGCTGCAGTGAGCTATGATTGTGCGTCCCTGCACTCCAGCCTGGGTGACAATGCAAGATCCCACCTCTTAAAAAAAAATTTTAAAAAGTAAGAAATGAGCTCTTTATGGTGGGGCCCTTGAGGAGGGAGGACTTTGGGAGGAGGTGGGATTTGAGCATCCCTAGGGCTCACCGTGCACCTGAAGATGGGTTAAATGGGGTACTGGGATGGAGGAGGGTGGGGGAAAGGGTGGAGTCAGCACATTTAGTGTGGCTGGGAAGGGGTGTGCCCAGGTGATAGAAGGTGGGTCACAGTGGGAGAGGAGACTGGGTCTGCGGGCTCAGGGTGCAGGGGTGGGGCTTTGCTCCGCAGTGGGGACGTCTGAGAGGCCAGGGGGCCTGATCAGGATGAGCTTCCAGGACTGTTGATCTGGAGGTGAGGGGTTGTGGGAGGTTGGACCAGGGAAAGGAGGCACTTCTGGCCGTTCAGGTGAGAAGGGGTTTCCAGGTAGAGGAGGGATGGACGGAAGCCACAGAAACAGCCCAGAGAGGGCCAAGAAGGGGAGGTTGGAGGTCACAAAGGGCACCGGGTTTGGTGGCCAGAAGGAAGTTGGTGGCTTTCCCGGCAGGGACTGCTGCGGGGGGTGGGGAGTGAATGTGGAAGGAAGAGGAGCCCATCGTGGGATATGCCAGGGGGAGGGGCTCGTGGGCTTCACCTGCAGACTCAGGGAGGCAGGGATGGAGCTCAGGGCAGAGGGCTGGGTGGACTCTGGATGAAGCAGTCACTGACTTGGACACGTGAGACAGGTGATGAGAAGGGGTCGGGCGAAGGTCTCCAAGGACAGTGGTGGAGCGGGAGAAGATAAGGCTGCGGACAGGGTCCTGGGACCCCCGTGTGGGGAACGGCAAGAGGAGGAGAGCAGCCAAGGAGTCCTGGCAGGAGCAGCCAGGGCAGGAGGCAGGCTGGGACTTCCCCTGCAGGCCTCCGAGCAGGCACGGTGCCCTGTAGACCCCGGTGACACTGTTAGCACCAAGGGCTCTGTTAACAAGGGACACTTTTAGTGACGTGTGCTGTGTTCACTGGAGATGGTGCTGTCTTTTTTTTTTTTTTTGAGATGGAGTCTTACTCTGTAGCCTAGGCTGGAGTGCAATGGTGTGATCTCAGCTCACTGCAACCTCTGCCTCTCCGGTTCCAGTGATTCTTGTGCCTCAGTCTCCTAAGTAGCTGGGACTACAGGCACCTGCCACCACACCCAGCTATTTTTTTTTTTGCATTTTTAGTAGAGACAGGGTTCCACTGTGTTGGCCAGGCTGGTCTCGAACTCCTGAGCTCAGACAATCTGCCCACATCTGCCTCCCAAAGTGCTAGGATTACAGGCTTGAGCCACCGCGCCCGGCTCTGTGCTGTCTTTATTGGAGGCAGAAATCACTTCGGAGGCTAAGGCAATGGTTCTGGAGAAGTGCGACCCTCCCCTTTCCCGGCCGTTGCTCTGTCCCACGTTGTTAGAAGGAAATGATCCCAGAGGGCTAGAGAGTTGAGAGGTCACCACTGCTGAGTCTTTGATGCATGACAGACGCCACTTCTGGGTCTATATGTGCCCAAAGAATGGAAAGCAGGGACAGGACCAGATATTTGCACGCCCATGTTTATAGCAGCACTGGTCACTATGGCCAAGCATTCATCAGCTGGTGATAGTCACTATGGCCAAAGGTGGAAGCAAGCCAAGCGTTCATCAGCTGGTGAATGGCTGAGCAGAATGTGGTCCATCCACCCCACACCCCAGTGGAATATTATTCAGCCTTAAAAGGGAAGGAAGGCCAGGCGGGGTGGCTCATGTCTGTAATCCCAGCACTTTGGGAGGCCTAGGCGGGTGGATCACGAAGTCAGGAGTTCAAGACCAGCCTGGCCAAGATGGTGAAACCCCATCTCTACTAAAAATACAAAAAATTAGCCAGAATTGGTGGCGGGCACCTGTAATCCCAGCTACTTGGGAGGCTGAGGCAGAGAATTGCTTGAACCCGGGAGGCAGAGGCTGCAGTGATCTGAGATCACGCCACTGCACTCCAGCCTGGGCGACAGAGCGAGTCTCCGTCTCCAAAAAAAAAAAAAAGTTTAATATGAGGTGGGGCGTGGTGGCTCACACTTGTAATCTCACAGTTTGGGAAGTCAAGGCCGTCAGATCACCTGAGGTCAGGAGTTCAAGACCAGCCTGACCAACATAGTGAAACCCCTTCTCTACTAAAAACACAAAAATTAGCCGGGTCTGGTGGCATGCACCTGTAATCCCAGCTACTCAGAAGGCTGAGGCAGGAGGATCTCTTGAACCCAGAGGCAGAGGCTGCAGTGAGTTGAGATTGTACCACTGCACTCCAGCTTGGGCGACAGAGCAAGACTCTGTCTAAAAAAAGAAAAGAAAAGAAAATAATAAAGACAGGCAGTTGAATGGTGGTCGTTAGGGGGTTGGGGTCAGGCAGGGGAGTTAGCGTTTAATGGGTGCAGGGTTTCAGTTTGGGATGATGAAAAAGTTCTGTGCATGGATGATGCCGATGGTTGTACAACAATGTGAATGCACTCAATGCCACTGAACTGTACCATTAAAAATGGTTAATGTGGTAAATTTTGTTATATATAGATTTTGCCACAATTTATTATATATATATATTTGAGACAGAGTTTCGCTCTTGTTGCCCAGGCTGGAGTGCAGTGGTGCAATCTCAGCTCATTGCAACTTCTGCCTCCCGGGTTCAAGCGATTCTCCTGCCTCAGCCTTCCGAGTAGTTGGGATTACAGGCATGCACCACCACGCCTGGCTAATTTTGTAGTTTTAGTAGCGACGGGGTTTCTCCATGACGGTCAGGCTGGTCTCGAACTCCCGACCTCAGGTGATCCGCCCGCCTGGGCCTCCCAAAGTCCTGGGATTACAGGTGTGAGCCACCGCGCCTGGCCTTTTGCCACAATTTATAAACAAGAATGAATTCTAAGGTTCATATTAATTGAAGCTAACATGACACACATAGCATAAACAGGTGTCTAAGCGGCCGGGCGTGGTGGCTCATGCCTATAATCCCAGCACTTTGGGAGGCCGAGGCAGATGGATCACCTGAGGTCAGGAGTTCGAGACCAGCCTGACCGTCATGGAGAAACCCTGTTGCTACTAAAACTACAGAATTAGTCAGGCGTGGTGGCGTATGCTTGTAATCCCAGCTACTTGGGAGGCTGAGGCAGGAGAGTCGCTTGAACCCGGGAGGCGGAGGTTGCAGTGATCTGAGATCGTGCCACTGCACTCCAGCCTGGGAAACAGAGTGAGACTCCGTCTAAAAAAAATAAAAATAAAAAAAGGTGACTAAGCAAGGGGTATGGTGGAGTGTGGCATGTTGGGACGGGCCTGGCTTTTAGGCCTCGACCAACAGTGCGGCCTGGGCGATTATCTAATTATCAGTTGTCTGATTGCCCAGCGTGACACATTTCTCACCTGTAAAGTGGGCATGACAGTCTCTGCCCTCCCACTGCCCAGGCTTGCTGGGCGGCCTGTGAGAGCAGGTTTGGGAAAAGTTCTTTGTCATCTGTTGTGCAGAATTGATGGGGTGGCCATACTTCAATGCCTTGACTCAGGGGTCAGAACTTTCAAGTGACCCCAGGCAGGGCTGCAAGGGCCTCTCTGGCAGTGGCTGCTCATTCCAGGCTGGGCCTGCCCCATGGCTTGTTGGCGTCCCATGGGCAGCTGCTGTGACAGTTTTTGCAGGGCATTTGGGCCGCAGCCTGGATGCATACCTAGACCTCGCTGCTTTTCTCAGCCAGGGTCTGGGAGAGAATGAAACCTATTGTTCTAGTTATCTGCTGTATGTGACTCTCTCCTGTGCGTTTCTCTCACGTGGGTCTTCTTTCCTGTGCATTTAGGGTGGTACGAAGTGAAGTGAGAAAATAGACACTCGTGGCCAGGTGTGGTGGCTCACGCCTGGAATCCCAGCACTTTGGGAGGCCGAGGCAGGTGGATGAGGTCAGGAGTTCAAGACCAGCCTGGCCAACATGGCGAAACCCCGTCTCTACTAAAAATACAATTAGCTGGGCGCAATGGCAGGTGCCTGTAATCCCAGCTATTTGGGAGGCTGAGGCAGGAGAATTGCTTGAACCTGGGAGGCGGAGGTTGCAGTGAGCTGAGATCCGGCCACTGCACTTCAGCCTGGGCAACAGAGCGAGACTCCGTCTCAAAAAAAAAAAAAAAGGGAACTAGACACTCATAGTTATCTGTGTTTTTGTGCTTTGTGGTTCCCTGAGGAACCCCCGTTGAGAAGAAAGGCTGGGACCCGGCTCTGGCTGACCCAGAAGCCCCTCTCGACCCCAACCCCTACTCCAGGCTTGGGGATCCAGGAATGAGAGTCCTAAGGGAGTCGGGGATTGGTTCAGGGTTGCTCAGACTCTTAAACAAGTCCCTAATGCCAGGCCAGGACTGTGTGGCGGGCAGCACGACCGTCCATTCCTTCTTTAGTTTGAAAGCAGAACAGTTGCGGGACGCTGGTTTTGACGTCGCTGGCTGTGCATTTGTGGAGCCGTGTCCCAGACCTCTGGGCGCAGGAGCCACCGGTTTGGGAGGCCGAGCAGCGCCCTCCTTCTCCTTCCCTGAGAGCTGAGGCTGCAGCTCTGGCTGGCTCTGATAAGTGCTTTGCAGCCCTGGCATGGCTGGAGGAGGGGCAGCGGCTAAGTGGTTTCTGAAAAAGGGCAAAAATGATGGGAAAAGCTTTGGGATCCTCTGGGAATCAGAGCCGCAGCAAAGGCAGCTGCTTGCATCGCTGGAAGTGTTTTTTCCTTGAGTGCTGAAGGGCGCCCACAGCCCACTCCTGCCAGTGCAGGGCAGCTGCTGCCAGGGCCGGGCCCGGGACCCCACGGAGGCCGCTCTTCTCCCACACGAGCCCAGCTCTCCCTTCGAGTAGCAACCGCCTTCGAGCTCACGAGCAGCCACGGGCCTGGGGTGTGCCTGCGTCTAGTTGGTGAGTCCCTTTCTTTGTCTGATGGCCAACACAGACGTTAGCTTTTAGGATGGCATAGTGAGTGGCCAGAAGCTGGGCCCTGCCACTTTCCAGCTGTGCCACTGTGGGCAGTTCCCCTCGCCTCTCTGTGCCCCAGTTACCTCGTCTGAAAACGGGGGGGTAGTAACAGTGGCCGCCTCAAAGGTGGTCGTGAGGCTGAAGTGAACTTGGGGTACCCCCAGCCTGGTTCCTCGGAAGCACCTGGGAGGAGAGAGTGGCGGTTGTTGTTACCGGGGTTTGTTCTTTTTGCTCCTGCACCGGCCGTCCTCGGGGGAGGAGGCTGCAGCTGCTGCTGAGGTTGCTGGTGTGTGGCCGGAGGTTTTCGGCCCGTCGCCCTCTCTGTGGGGTGGACGAGCGCAGGGCTGGGAAGCAGGCGCGCTGGGTGCTTGTGCTGCTGTCCTGTCTCTGTTCTTCCCGCCTGGGTTGGCAAGCCCGCAGCCTACTGCCTCTCTTTGAGAGAAGGGACTATTGAGAATAATGAGGCTGGGTCCTGGGCCAGCGTTCTCCCAGCTTCCAGAGAGTCCCCAGTGGCAAGCAGAGGTGCTCCCAAGAACTTGGATGGATGGATGGATGCTTTGGGCAGAGAGGGGAGCAGGGAAGCCACACCCCAGCTTGTCTCACCCGCAGTGGGGAGAGAAGGGATTCCTCCTCCAGATGGGGGGCAGTGTCCTTTCTGGCTTTGGAGTTGAGAAGGACTCAGAGATCAAACCAGGTGTCTGTGGACAGAATCAATTGTTTTAGGATTGTCCTTTAGTCCAGATGGATGAGTTTGTGAATCTTGTGTAAACCAGAATCACCATCTCCGTCACACAGTCAACACTCGTTGGCCCAAATCACGGTAGAAGTTCCGCCGATCACTGTAGAATGTTTTGTGGTGACAGGTGTGTCACCACGGGCTCAGGTGCAGAGTAGTACACTCCAGGCCTGGCAGTGGAGGACTGTCCTGACCCTATTCCCCGGACCAGCCCAGGGCACATGGCCCCTCGGTTCCTGGCCCACTCCGTTCCCTGGAAGAAGCTTGGTTTCCAGTAGGGAATCAGGTGCAAAGTGTGTGGTATAGACTCAGCGTTCGTCGACTGACTGAATGATCACAATCCAGGCTGCCTCCTGTTGGCTGGATTTGACTGGACTGGGACTGGTCAGAGGAAGAGGCAACGCCATTAACAAAGAACGTTGCTGAAAGGTTCACGGGAGGCTCCGGCTAACAGGTGCTCTCTTACTAGGCTGCCTAACAAGCAGCCCCCTATTCTTTTTTTTTTATTATTATACTTTAAGTTCTAGGGTACATGTGCACAACGTGCAGGCCTGTTACCTATGTACACATGTGCCACGTTGGTGTGCTGCACCCATTAACTCGTCATTTACATTAGGTATATCTCCTAAAGGCAGTCCCTGTTCTTATTCTTAGCTTATTCTTGGAGACCACAGACATCCCTGGGACAGCCAGGCGTGGGTATGGCCTGGGTCTTATTCACACTGCATTTTGGGGTTCCTGAGCTGCCTGATTGAGTGGGAGGGTGTTTCAGGTTCAGGTCTAGCCCCTGCATTTTCTTATGCCTCGCCCCGAGGGTGAGAGGCCCTATTCTGATTGGCCCCCAGGCCCTGCGGTGGAGTCTGGGTCTGAGTTGAACAGCTGAGAAACAGCCTCAGACCTCCAGCGTGGTGGTGGAGTACTGGAGATGCTCTGGAGCCAGCCTGCATAGGGTCAAGTCCGGGTTCTGCCTCTGACTGTGTGACTTTGGGGGCGTGTGTGACTGCTCTGTGCCTCAGTCTCCTCATCGGTGAACTATCTCCCTCTTAGGGATGTTGTGGGAATTAAGTGGGTGAAGGAAGGCAAGTCCTGAGAACCGTGTTTGCTCTGTGCATGTGCTTAGACACGTCAATGATTCTGATTCTCATTCGCTTCTGGTGCCTTTTAAGCACTGCCAGGCTCCCCGTCCTGTGAACCGTCCTTGACGGGGTGTTATCTTCAGAAAGCACAGACTAGCACCTGGCCCCCAGGCTTCCAAAGCTACGCGTGGCTTCCCACCGTCCACGCAACCATGTCGGCTCTCAGTTCCTTGGAGTTAAGGCTGACGGCCATCTGGTTCTGAGCCGGCTGCCTGTCTTCCCATCCACTGACTTCCTCTTCTTCAGCGGCTTCCCTGTCTGTCTCCCAGCCCCAGCCCACCTCTGTTCCCTTTCCAGGCTCAGCTCATCCATCACCAACTCCATGGAGCCCTCTTCAGCACCCTGCCCCCTCCTGCAGTCCCTCAGCCCAGCCAGTACCTGGTTTCTGTGTCAGCGGGGGGCTGACTCCTCTCTGCGCCCCCAGTGCAGGGCTGGACTCTGAGGAGGAGGATTCGGTAGATGGGTATTGAGTGATCAGATGAGGGAATCAGCTTTCTGTGGCTGGGAACACTCCTGCTGCAGGGAATCTGTCTGATGGGTGAGTCAGAGATGGGCTCAGGTCTGTTGAAAGTGGATCAACAGGCAGGCAGGGAGATGGCCAGCAGCCAGCCGTCTGTCCTGTTCACAGCCTCTGGGGCGGTGAGGCTTCCTCCACGTTTTTGTGGATCTGGGCTTCAGAACATAGTTGGTTTACAGCCACAACCCAGCCGTGTGCTCTGGAGTTTCATTGCCTGAATTTTCACTTGAGGGACTTGGGAGTCTCCCTGAGCTATTCTGGCTTGGGAGATTGCCTGATTCTATATTTTAAAAAAAGAAAATGCAGGACTTGAGAAGCTTCTCATTCCTTCTGTGGCTGTTTTCCAGAATGTAGCCACTGCTGGGACGGTAATCTCCCTAACTTCCTGTGGAAATGGGAATTAGAAGGCTCTGATCGCTCTTATTTCCCCACTCGTGACCAGGTGACCAGTGCAGCTGCTGCTGCTGCTGCTTTTTTTTTTTTTTTTTTGAGACAGAGTTTCACTCTGTCGCCCAGGCTGGAGTGGAGTGGCACGGTCTCGGCTTGCTGCAACCTCCACCTCCTGGGTTCAAGGGATTCTCATGCCTCAGCCTCCCAAGTAGCGGGGATTATAGGTGTGTGCCGCCACGCCTGGCTAATTTTTGTATTTTTTTAGTAGAGACGGGATTTCACCATGTTGGCCAGGCTGGTCTCGAACTCCTGACCTCAGGTGATCCACCGGCCTCGGCCTCCCAAAGTGCTGGGATTACAGACGTGAGCCACCATGCACAGCCCAGTACAGCTTCTTCATAAGGAGAAGGATCAAGCAAGGTCCCTGCACAGGAGGAGGTCACAGGGCGCGGGAGAGAGAAATCAGTGACAGATCGCAATTGCTAGACCACCTGGTGGGCTGTGTGGGATGCACAGTCAATGGGCTGGGCCACTGTGCAGAGGATGGCGGGGAGCATGACCAGGGCAGGGATCTGGGGGCTTCATGGAGGAGGCGGCATCAGTGCTGGATCCTGAGGGGAAGTAGCATCTGAGAGGAGGTGGTAGGATTTGTGCAAGGGTAGAAGGAGGAAAAAGCCCTTAGGTGGAGACCCAATGGGAATAGAGGCTATGGGAGGGATGTATGGGCCAGCCCTGGGTGCCAGGGAGTGGGGATGCCCAGCCAGAGGGAGGGGAAGTCTGGGGATGGGGCAGAATGGGGGTGGAAAATAGCATCAGCTCATGTGTCCAACTCCACGTGCTGCTGCCAGTGGCCAGCGGATCTCTAGGTGTTTAGGCCCAGAAGACCCACCAGCTCCAAATCACTTAATGCCTAAACATTCCCCGTCTCTACTAAAAATACAAACATTAGCCAGGCGTGGTGGCGGATGCCTGTAATCCCAGCTACTCGGGAGGCTGAGGCAGGAGAATCGCCTGAGCCCGGGAGGTGGAGGTTGCAGTGAGCTGAGATTGTCCCATTGCACTCCAGACTGGGTGACAGGGTGAGATGCTGTCTCCAAAAAAAAAAAAAAAAAAAAAAAAAAAAGCCAAAACGTTCAAGGCCGGGATGCTTGACAGATACTGATTCATAAAAATGATGAAAAGCACAAAATCCAAAATCTCATATAAGCTCAGTGGCTGTGGCAGCAAGATTGAAGAGCAAAGGCAGGCTGGGCACCTGGCTGGTGGCATGTGGACCCGTGGCACAGCAGGGCCCCTCAGTGCGGTGTGGGTGTGCCAGTCTCTGCCACTCACCCTATTCCAGGGATGGTCTGCTTGGCTCTTCTGGGCTGAGCCATCCTCATCACAGATCCTCCCTGAATTTAGCCCATGACAGCCACCCCGGCTGTTTCCCTTATTCTGTGTGGGGAGGGAGGCAGCACGGTGGTTATCAACCTCAGTCTGCAGAGGAGGCACCTGAGGCCCAGAGAGGAGGAGGGATGGGTTTAACCCAGAACCACAGACGGCTCTGAGCCGGGGGCCTGTCCACCCTCCCAGGCCGATGTCAGTGGCAGCAGGACTGCCCGGGTGCCGCTAGGCTGCTCACCTCTGGGGCCTCTGGGGTGAGGGTTCAGTCCTGGAAACACTTCAGTTCTAGGGGGCTGGGGGCAGCAGCCAGTTGGGGTTTTGGGGTACCCTGCTTCACAGGGCCCTTGGCGAGGAGGGCAGGTGGGGTCTAAGGACAAGCAGTCCTTACGCTGGGAGTCAACCCCGGCGTGGTGGCTGCTGCAGGCTTTATACCGGGCCGCAGAGGACCCAGCAAGGATGAAGAAATGGAGCAGCACAGACTCAGGGGCGGCTGCGGACCCACTCCAACAGGACGCCTGCCCAGACCCCCCGGATGGAGACCCTAACTCCAGGCCACCTCCAGCCAAGCCCCAGCTCTCCACGGCCAAGAGCCGCACCCGGCTGTTTGGGAAGGGCGACTCGGAGGAGGCTTTCCTGGTAGATTGTCCTCACGAGGAAGGTGAGCTGGCCTCCTGCCCGACCATCACAGTGAGCCCTGTTATCACCATCCAGAGGCCGGGAGACGGCCCCACCGGTGCCAGGTAAGTCCGCGTCTGGAGGCCCCCTCCCTGCTAGGAGCCCAGCTGGCCATGGAGATGCCACAGGGTGTCTGGCTTCTGGGCTAAATGTCACAAAGCCAGGAGGCTGGAGAGCCTTAGGGGCGGTCTGGTCCAGCGTCCTTCCTCGTGGGACCTCGTGGGATGCGCCGTCAGCGGGGCTGGTGTCTGTGCTGGGTCTGGGTGTCCACGCCTGCAGTGCCTACCAGCCACAGACACGTGGACTTGACGTCTAAAAGCTCAAGGGCAGGAGGCTTTCAGAGAGCACAGCACGGCTCCAGTGAGCTGCAAGGCAGGGCAGGGAGGGCCACAGGCTGGCTGACTTCTGGGGAGCGTGAGGCCACCTTTTCCCTTAGAGGGGCCGTCTACACCCCTCCTCCAGCTTCCTCCGTCCCCACCAGCCTCCTGCCTCCCGCGCTCCCGAGCAGGCAGAGAAGCCAGTGGTCTGGGAGTAGGAGGGTGACTTTCTACATGGTGTCTGTAGACAGGGTGGGGACGGAATGGGGACCTGTGCTCCCCACTGTCCCTGTTACATTGGTTTTCTGGGCAGTCAATTAGACCGAGGGGCAGCTTTTACATCATTTTTCCCCCTTTTGGTTTGCCTTGGGGTTTAGTCGTGTTCCCTCGACAAGCTCCGAAGGCCTCAGGGCCGAGGGGAGGCCAGGATGTGAGACGAGGGTGTTTTCTGACCTGCAGGCTGCCGTCCCAGGACTCTGTGGCCACCAGCACCGAGCGGACCCTCAGGCTCTATGATCGCAGGAGTATCTTTGAAGCCGTTGCTCAGAATAACTGCCAGGATCTGGAGAGCCTGCTGCTCTTCCTTCAGAAGAGCGAGAAGCACCTCACGGACAACGAGTTCAAAGGTGGCCCCAGCGCTGGGCTCCGGGGAGGGCCCCAGCCCTGGCCTGCCCTGACCCTCCCTTTGTGTTTCAGACCCTGAGACAGGGAAGACCTGTCTGCTGAAAGCCATGCTCAACCTGCATGACGGGCAGAACGACACCATCCCGCTGCTCCTGGAGATCGCGCGGCAGACCGGCAGCCTAAAGGAGTTTGTCAACGCCAGCTACACGGACAGCTACTACAAGGGTGAGGAGGGCGGCGGGGCTGGGCATGGCTCAGCCCGCAGCACTGGGAACCAGGAGGACATGGTTGTCCCTGGGACTTCTTGCTCCTCTGGGATCCTTACTCCCTATCCCAGCCACTGCTTTGGTGGCTCCTAATCCTAGGGAGTCCCTGCCTCCCCCATCTGCTGGCCTGATTTCTTCTGGTCCTGGAGGTCCCTGCCTCTCTCATCTGCTGGCTTGATTTCTCCTGGTCCTGGGAGTCCCTGCCTCTCCCATCTGCTGGCCTGATTTCTCCTGGTCCTGGGGGTCTCTGCCTCCCCTATCTGCTGGCTTGATTTCTCCTGGTCCTGGGGGTCTCTGCCTCCCCCATCTGATGTCTCCTCTCTTGACCCTGGGATGTCCCTGCCTCCTGCTGCTGACTGGATGGTCCCTGTCCCTGGAAGTCACAGCCTCTGGCCTTTCTCTCTGCTCCTGTTCCTTGCCCCCGGGGCAGTTTCGACTCCTCTGGCTTCCAACCTGTTATTTCCTGTTCCCAAGGGTCTCCTGTCTCAGGACCTTGCTGGGACCCCTTGGGGGACCCTGGCCTGGCCTCCTGGGCGGGGGGGGGTCCTCCAGGCACTTTCTGCCCAGTTCCTCCTGCAGCAGCTGCTGCCTGCCCAGAGCCCTTCCCCAGCACCTGTCCCAGCAGCCCCACGGGACTGTGGTCACGAAGCCAACAGTGCACGTCCTCTGCAGGCCAGACAGCGCTGCACATCGCCATTGAGAGGCGCAACATGGGCCTGGTGACCCTCCTGGTGGAGAACGGAGCGGACGTCCAGGCTGCGGCCAATGGGGACTTCTTTAAGAAAACCAAAGGGCGGCCTGGATTCTACTTCGGTAGGGAGACAACGTGGCTGACCCCGATCTCTTCGACTTCTTTTGCTAAGGGGAGGTTTGGGCAGAGACAGAGGGAGTTGGAGGCTGGTGGTTCAGGGACCAGCTGGATCTCACTCCTGAGGCCCGCCTGGCCCTGTGTTCGTGCAGGTGAACTGCCCCTGTCCCTGGCCGCGTGCACCAACCAGCTGGGCATCGTGAAGTTCCTGCTGCAGAACTCCTGGCAGCCGGCCGACATCAGCGCCAGGGACTCGGTGGGCAACACGGTGTTGCACGCCCTGGTGGAGGTGGCCGACAACACGGCCGACAACACCAAGTTTGTGACGAGCATGTACAATGAGATTCTGATCCTGGGGGCCAAACTGCACCCCACGCTGAAGCTGGAGGAGCTCACCAACAAGAAGGGAATGACGCCGCTGGCCCTGGCCGCTGGGACCGGGAAGATCGGGGTAGGAGGGGGCTTCGACTCGAGCTGGTGCAGTGCGGGGACAGGGCCGTCGGGGAGGACTGCCTGACTCACTTCGGGAGCCTGTGTCACTATCTGTGTGTGCGGGACCCTGATTCTGTCACACCAGCTTGCAGGGCTGTTAGAATAAGTCTGAGAAACTGGGAGCCGCAGGGCAGAACGCTGCATGGCCAGTGTGGCCATTTTGGATTTCTAGCTCTGAGTATCGTCAAGACACGGGGTGGGGTGCTGGGCCATGAGGTGGGACCGCCTAAGGTGCAACAGAAGAAAAGCTGTTGGGCCAGGCACGGTGATTCGGGCTTGTAATCCCGGCACTTTGGAAGACCAACATGGATTAGCTGAGGTTAGGAGTTCGAGACCAGCCTGACCAACCTGGTGAAACCTCGTCTCTACTAAATGCACAAAAATTAGCCAGCCGTGGTGGCAGGTGCCTATAATCCCAGCTACTCAGGAGGCTGAGGCACGAGAATCGCTTGAACCTGGGAGGCGGAGGCTGCTGTGAGCCGAGATTTCACCACTGCACTCTAGCCTGTGTGACAGAGCAAGACTCTGTCTCAAAAAAAAAAAAAAGAAAAAGAAGAAAACAGCTGTTGGTGTTTTTCTATGGCAGGCAGGAGCTTTAGGTGACAAGGCTGGTGGCTCCTGGTGACAGGCCTCCAGCTCCTGGCCTCAAATGATCCTCCCACCTCAGTCTCCCAAGTAGCTGGGATTACAGGCATGAGTCACCCCATCTGGCTCTCATTTCTTGCATTCTCTTTATTTCTTTCTGGCTTGAGGTTATCGAGAATGGACCACCACTGTCTTTCATGGTGAGATGGTAGAGTTGGGGCCTTGAGGGGATGGTGGGCCTGATATGGTACAGGTAGTATCTGAGGCAGCCGGCTGGTTGACCTTTTTTCTTTTTTTTTTTTTTTTCTGAGATGGAGTTTCGCTCTTGTTGCCCAGGCTGGAGTGCAATGGCACAATCTCGGCTCACTGCAACCTCTGCCTCCCAGGTTCAAGTGATTGTCCTGCCTCAGCCTCCTAAGTAGCTGGGATTACAGGCACACGCCACCATACCTGGCTAATTTTTTTTGTATTTTCAGTAGAAACAGGATTTTGCCATGCTGGCCAGGCTGGTCTCGAACTCCTGACCTCAGGTGATCCACCTGCCTCAGCCTCCCAAAGTGCTGCGATTACAGGCGGCGTGAGCCACCTGCGCCCGGCCGGCTGGTTAATCTTGATGGTGGTCAGGAGTGGGTGGGGACTTGCCTGGGGCTTGGGTGAGGCCACTAGCTGGACTGGGAAGCAGAGCTGGTTGTTGGGGTGCTGTCTGAGGCTGAGCCTGGGGCTGGCCTCTGATGGGCTCTTGATCCCTGGTGGCAGGTCTTGGCCTATATTCTCCAGAGGGAGATCCAGGAGCCCGAGTGCAGGCACCTGTCCAGGAAGTTCACCGAGTGGGCCTACGGGCCCGTGCACTCCTCGCTGTACGACCTGTCCTGCATCGACACCTGCGAGAAGAACTCGGTGCTGGAGGTGATCGCCTACAGCAGCAGCGAGACCCCTGTGAGTGGCTGGGGCACAGCCAGGGAGGGCCTCAGGGCCTCTGCACCCCAGGCCCAATCCCAGTCCGTGGTCCAGCTCCAGCTGGCTTCTCATGAGGGAAAGCCTGCTGCCCGGGGCCCAGGCCCTGCAGCCTCATGTCCCCATTCATGCCCACTGAATTTTCCCTAAGCATAGCAACCATACACGATTATCATCTTGTAAAAACAGAAACATTTCAGAGGTACATAGACAAAAGTCCCTCCTTTTATACTATGTAAAAATGTACAGTTTCTTTTTCTTTTTTTTTTTTTGAGACAATGTTTCGCTCTTGTTGCCCAGGCTGGAGTGCAATGGCGCGATCTCAGTTTACCGCAACCTCCGTCTCCTGGGTTTTCAAGCGATTCTCCTGCCTTAGCCTCCCAAGTAGCCAGGACTATAGGCATGCGCCACCACACCTGGCTAATTTTGTATTTTTAGCAGAGACGGGGTTTCTCCATGTTGGTCAAGCTGGTCTCGAACTCCCGACCTCTGGTGATCTGCCCACCTCAGCCTCCCAAAGTTCTGGGATTACAGGCATGAGCCACCACGCCCAGCCTAAAATGTACAGTTTCATTTTGTATACATAAACAGGATCAGAGTATATGCAATGTACAACAACCATTTTTTTTTCTCACTTGATGGCAGGGCTTGTAGATTTTTCTTTTTCTTTCTTTTTTTTTGAGATGAAGTTTCGCTCTTGTTGCCCAGGCTGGAGTGCAATGGTGCCATCCCGAGTCACTGCAACCTCCATCTCTCTGGTTCAAGCAATTCTCCTTGAATCCCAAGTAGCTGGGATTACAGGCATGTGCCACCATGCCTGGCTAATTTTTTGTATTTAGTAGAGACAGGGTTTCTCCATGTTGGTCAGGCTGGTCTCGAACTCCTGATCTCAGGTGATCCAACCTCCCTGGCTTCCCAAAGTGCTGGGATTACCGGTGTGAACCACTGCGCCAGGCCAAGAATTGATTTTTGTGTAGGTGTGAAGTAGGCATCTCACTTAAATATTTTGGCTCCAAATGACTGTCTCAGTGTTACTTTTTGGGTAATCCATCCTGCCATGCTGTTTGGAAAGGCCACCTTACCTGTCCCTTCTTCCTAAGGTGATGCTCTGAGCTCCCAAGGCAGACTTGGGGGCTGGAGTCTGTGCCACCAGCAGTGAAGGGCTTGCACGATGTCTCACAGGCCAGAAGTGGCATTTATAGGAGCAGAGTCTGGGGCTGGGAGAGGCCTGGTCTGCTCTGCCCTACCTGGGCTGCCGTGCTGAACCCGGGCCTCCAACTCAGAGTGCTGGATACAAGTGTTCCCAGAGGAGTGGTCCAGATAGGAGGTGACCTCAAAAAGGACTGCAGTATTTGACCTGGGGGAGAGGCTCCGGGACCACCACTGACATCTTCATGTCTCGGAAGGCTGTCAGGGACAAGGAGTGTGGACTTGTTCTGGGGACCCTAGGGCAGAACCAGGACCACTAGTAGAAAGTAGAGAAGACCAAAGAAGAGGTATTCCCTACAGTTAGTGACTCTCCATAGGCCTCTTGAGGCAGTAAGAGTTTCCCATCCCCAAAGGTGTTCAAGAAGACACTGATTGGGAACCTCTTTGAGGGAGCTTAAGCTTGGGCTGGGGATTGTACTTGATGGCCTGAGGGCGGCTGGGATGATCTCATTTTGGCTCATCCATCTCAGGGATACTTGAACTTATTTTTATTTTATTTTATATTTTGAGACAAAGTCTCGCTCTGTCACCTAGGCTGGAGTGCAGTGGCGTGATCTCAGCTCACTGCAACCTCTGCCTCCTGGGGTTCAAGCAATTCTCCCGCCTCAGCCTCCCAAGTAGCTGGGATTACAGGCACGCGCTACCACACCTGGCTAGTTTTTGTATTTTTGTAGAGACGGGGTTTCACCATGTTGGCCAGGCTGGTCTTGAACTCCTGACCTCAGGTGATCCACCTGCCTTGGCCTCCCAAAGTGTTGGGATTCCAGGCGTGAGCCACCACTCCCGGCCTATTTGAACTTTATCAAAATCTCTGGATACGAGACGTTTGCCCCGAAGCATACTTGTAAAGATGGCATGGGGCCCTGGGCCCTCCTGCTGCAGGAAGGGCCTCCCAGTTCCCTGCCTGACCCAGGGCTGGAAATGTGAGAAGTCAGGACCCAGAAGCTCTTTCCCGCCTGCCCTCAGCCCCTCATGCCCAGGCTCTGCCTAAGCCAACTACTTCCCATTCCTGTGGGATCTCGGGAGTGAGTTATTAGACACAACGGGCATAGACTATTGGGCGGTGCTGTGGGCCGTTAAGTGAGTACTTAGAGCTTGTCCGGTTTCACCCCATTCACTGCACCTTTGGGAACACCGAGGCCAAGAGGGCGGGTCCCTCCGTGAGCCGCAGCAGTGCTGGGACCAGCCCCAGGCTCTGGCTGCCGGCTGGCTCAGACCTCCCTTGAGTGTCACCTGCTCCCTGGGCGGAGGATTGTGCGCCCACGTGGCTGTGGCTGTGAGGAGCGCCAGGGGCTGGCGTGGGCGTGCGAGGAAGTCCTGCAGCAAGAGGGAACCTCACTTCTCTCCGCTCCCCCTAGAATCGCCACGACATGCTCTTGGTGGAGCCGCTGAACCGACTCCTGCAGGACAAGTGGGACAGATTCGTCAAGCGCACCTTCTACTTCAACTTCTTGGTCTACTGCTTGTACATGATCATCTTCACCATGGCTGCCTACTACAGGCCCGTGGATGGCTTGGTGCGGCCAGAGGCTCAGGCCTCGTGGGCTGGGGTGCGGCGGGTGGGGAAGGGATGTGGACATTCCGGGGAGACCTCCCCCACCCCAGGCCCAAGCTCTGCCCTGGACTCCTTCCTGGCTTGCTGGAGCGATGGATGGAGAACCTGGAGAACCTTGTATCCTTGTGCCCATCTTCCCTGCCTCAGGCTGTACAGGAGACCCACCCCCTTCCTGCTTCTTAGTCCCTCTCCTTTAGCCTTGAGGTTCTGTGGGACTGAGTGTGTGGTGACTCAGGTCCCCGATCAAACTGGGTGTACTTGGTTAGAAAGCATGCAGGGGCCGGGTGCAGTGGCTCACGCCTGTAATCCCAGCACTTTGAGAGGCTGAGGTGGGCGGATCACCTGAGGTCGGGAGTTCGAGACCGGCCTGACCAACATGGTGAAACCCTGTCTCTACTGAAAATACAAAATTAGCCGGACGTGGTGGAGCACGCCTGTAATCCCAGCTACTCAGGAGGCTGAGGCAGGAGAATTGCTTGAACCCGGGAGGCGAAGGTTGTGGTGAGCTGAGATGGTACCATTGCACTCCAGCCTGGTCAACAAGAGTGAAACTGTCTCAAAAAAAAAAAAAAAAAAAAAAAAAAAGAAATCATGCAGGAATTTGGGCTCAGGAGAGGGCTCAGCCCTGGCCTGGGGGTCCCTAGGGATGTGGGCTAGTGTAAGCCCAGAGCCCACCGTCATCCTGCTTGCCTGCCCTGTTTTATTCACTCACTTGCTCGTTACTCATTCCCTGGATTTAGACTTTTGAGCACCTCTGTGCCAGGCCCTGGGCCATCCATCAAATCAGCCTAAGACCAGACTTTTTCCTCTGCCGAGAGCCAAGACTTCATTGAACTTCTGGACTTAGTTCTTCATGTCCGATACCCAGGGCACTGAATCTGCTGCCTTTGTTTCCAGGGCACCTTACAAATTTACTTACTTATTTAATTTTTTTTTTTTTTTTGAGACAGAGTCTCACTCTATCACCCAGGCTGGAATGCAGTGGCGTAATCTCAGCTCACTGCAACCTCCACCTCCCGGGTTCAAGTGACTCTTCTGCCTCAGCCTCCTGAGTAGCTGGGACCACAGGTGCCCACCAACATGCCCAGCTAATGTTTATATTTTTAGTAGAGATGGGGTTTCACCATATTGGCCAGGCTAGTCTTGAACCCCTGACCTCAAGTGATCTGCCTGCCTTGGCCTCCCAAAATGCTGGGATTATAGGCGTGAGCCACCTTGCCTGGCTGGCTGTACATTTACTTTAAAAACTCAACTTCATCATTGCATGAAACCCTATTTCTGTTCACCTATTAAGGCCACATAACGACTTCCTTTTTTTTTTCCGAGACGGAGTCTCGCTCTGTTGCCCAGGCTGGAGTGCAGTGGCACCATCTCAGCTCACTGCAACCTCTGGCTCCGGGGTTCAAGTGATTCTCCTGTCTCAGTCTCCCAAGTAGCTGGGATTAGAGCCATGCACCACCACGCCTGGCTAATTTTATATTTTTAGTAGAGATGGGATTTCTCCATGTTGGTCAGGCTGGTCTCGAACTCCCGACCTCAGGTGATCCACCTGCCTCAGCCTCCCAAAGTGCTGGGATTATAGGAGTGAGCCACCGCACCCGGCCAGTGACTTCCTTTTAAGAGAAAAATGTGCTACTAAGGCAAGCTAATGAACGAGTGCTTAGGAAATGTGGATGGTGAACCACTCCAGGAAATGGCAACTGAAACACAAGGGTGACACCCATAAGTGTGTGTGGCACAGTCTCTCCCTCCATGGTCAGTAGGAGTCCCTGACACTCGTGGGAGACTGGCCATGGTGTGGGGTGACAGTGGGATGTGTATGGCTTGGGGTCCATGAGACTGCCTCCCCCTGTCCATCACCCTGCTGTCCATCACTCTGCTCCCAGCCAGGAGGAGCTCCGGGCCTGCCAGGACATTGCCTGGGAGGCGGCACAGCATTGTAAGATGCTCTGTGTGGCACCTGCAGGCTGCCACTTTGGGGAATCAGGCCTACAGAGCGGCCTCCTTGCGGGCGCTCCCCTAATAACACACTGTCTTTGTGTGTCCTTCGCCTGATGGAGGCTGTGCCTCCTGGGCAGGGGCTATGTCTTCATCGCAGGGCTTGGTACCTGGTCAATGTTTGTTGCATGAATGAATGAGTAAACAGAGTTACCAACTTCTCTGCGTCTCACAGCCTCCCTTTAAGATGGAAAAAACCGAAGACTATTTCCGAGTTACTGGAGAGATCCTGTCTGTGTTAGGAGGAGTCTACTTCTTTTTCCGAGGGGTAAGCAGTCCTTCCCACGTTGTGAGTTTCCGTTATCACCAAAACAGAAAGCCAAGCGAATCCCTCACCACTCACTCACTTTTCTATTCATCAGCCATATAATGGCCCTGCTTGGGGAGCTGAGAGACGCAGAGGGGAGGATGAGAGCCTTTCAGTCAGTCTCTGCGGGGGCAGGAGGGCGCTCAGGGCGTCTCCACGGGCCCAAGGCAGGCAAGCCTGAAAATAGATACTCCAGCCACTCCACGGGATGGAATATTTAATTACAGGGGTAGATGGAGGCCTCTTAAGTGATAGGATCATGACTGGTAGTTGTCTAATTAATGAAACCAGTCTCTTAAAGCTCTGAATAATGAAGGAAATCTCCATGCATACTGGAATCTTTGTTTGTTTGTTTGTTTGTTTGTTTTTTTGAGATGCAGTTTCACTTTGTTGTCCAGGCTGGAGGCCAGTGGTGCGATGTTGGCTCACTGCAACCCCTGCCTCTTGAGTTCAAGCAATTTTCCTGCCTCAGCCTCCCAAGTAGCTGGGATTACAGGCACCTGCCACCATGCCTGGCTAACTTTTTTTGTATTTTTAGTAGAGATGGGGTTTCACCATGTTGGCCAGGCTGGTCTCGAACTCCTGACCTCAGGTGATCTGCCTGTCTCAGCTTCCCAAAGTGCTGGGATTACAGGCGTGAGCCATTGCACCAGCAAGGAATTGTCTTATTTTAAACTGGAAACTCAAATATGTGCAATCCTTGGCCACTTTTTTTTTTTAATGCAGGAGTAATCTTTTCTTTGAATGTGGGACTCACTGTTTCAGATTTTATGTCACCTTTCTTGCAAAAACCATATTTCTATCATCTAAGATTTTGGTTTTTTTTTTTTGAGACGGAGTCTCGCTCTGTCGCCCAGCCCAGGCTGGAGTGCAGTGGCGCGATCTCGGCTCACTGCAAGCTCCGCCTCCCGGGTTCACGCCATTCTCCTGCCTCAGCCTCCCGAGTAGCTGGGACTACAGGCGCCCACAACCGCGCCCGGCTAATTTTTTGTATTTTTAGTAGAGACGGGGTTTCACCGTGGTCTCGATCTCCTGACCTTGTGATCCGCCCGCCTCGGCCTCCCAAAGTGCTAGGATTACAGGCGTGAGCCACCGCGCCCAGCCTCATCTAAGATTTTGAGTTTCAGCTTCTTTAAAGAAGAGTGAGAACTTAGATGCATACAAAAAAGTCTGAATGTAGAATTTCAGATGATCATTGGGTTTTTTTTTTTTTCTTTGACCCCAGAAACCCTTGTAGTATTTTAATTTTAAGTTTTATAAGATGGGGTCTTGCTGTGTCACCCAGGCTGGAGTGCAGTGGTGTGATCATGGCTCACTGCAACCTCTGTCTCCTGGGCTAAAGCGATCCTCCCGCCTCAGCCTCTGGGGTAGCTGGAACTACAGGAAGCCGTCACCGTGCCCAGGCTCCACTGTGATTTTTTTTTTTTTTTTTTTTGGGATGGAGTCTCGCTCTGTCGCCTAGGCTGGAGTGCAGTGGCGCGATCTCGGCTCACTGCAAGCTCCGCCTCCCAGGTTCACGCCATTCTCCTGCCTCAGCCTCCCGAGTAGCTGGGACTACAGGCGCCCGCCACCACGCCCGGCTAATTTTTTGTATTTTTAGTAGAGACGGGGTTTCACCGTGTTAGCCAGGATGGTCTCGAGCTCCTGAACTCGTGATCTGCCCGCCTTGGCCTCCCAAAGTGCTGGGATTGCAGGCCTGAGCCACTGTGCCCGGCCCCATTATGATTTTTTTTTTTTCTAAGATGGAGTCTCGATCGGTTGCCCAGCCTGGAGTGCAGTGGCACGATCTTGACTCACTGCAACCTCTGCTTCCTGGGTTCAAGTGATTCTCCATCCTCAGCCTCCCGAGTAGCTGGGACTACAGGTGTGTGCCACGGCGCCCAGCTAATTTTTGTATTTTTAGTAGAGACTGGGTTTCATCATGTTAGCCAGGATGGTCTCGATCTCCTGACCTCATGATCCGCCTGCCTCGGCCTCCCAAAGTGCTGGGATTACAGGCTTGGGCCACTGCGCCCGGCCTTCGATTGTGAGTTTTATCCCCCAGTCTTTTTTGGTATAAGCTCTACCCAATTTTTTTTAAAGTCACTCACCGTCATGGAATTGTTCTGTCATTGAACTTTGTCTTCACAGAGACAACTGTCTTTCTTTTCACACTCATGGTTTACATTACAGTAAAATACAACGCCACAGTAGCAAGTGTGGCTGGAGTGGCAAAAGCAGGATTGGCCTGTGGGAGGGAGCAGAAGTGTGGGGGTGTCTTGGACAGGACTCACGGCTGACCGTGGCAGCTTGTTACAAGAATTTTTATTTTAACGCTTACTTAAAATTAAGAGAAAAGTATGCTCGGCATGTGAAAAGTTAAGAAAAAAGTGGCTCATGCTTGTAATCCCAGCTACTTGGGAGGCTGAGGCCAGGAGTTTGAGACCAGCCTGGGCAACATAGTGAGACTCTGATCTCTTAAAAAAAAAAATTAGGAAAAAGCACCAATTAGCAAGAAGAAAATAATTTGTCCAATTCAATACGGCAACTGATAACATTTTGATGATTTTCCTTCCTGTCTGTATTTCTGGGTATTACACAGTGGGTAAATCCACTGTGTAATTTTTTTTTTTTTTTTGAGACAGAGTCTCACTGTCAGCCAGGCTGGAGTACAGTGGCACCAGCTTGGCTCACTGCAACCTCTGCCTCCTGGGTTCAAGCAATTTTCCTGCCTCAGCCCTGTGAGTAGCTGGGATTACAGGCATGCGCCACCGCACCCAGCTAATTGTTTTGTATTTTTAGTAGAGACAGGGTTTCACCATGTTGGCCAGGCTGGTCTCGAACTCCTGACCTCAGGTGATCCACTTGCCTTGGCCTCCCAAAGTGCTGGGATGACAGGCATGAGCCACCGCACCCGGCTTCCACCGTGTATTTTTTTTTTTTTTTTTTTTGAGACGGAGTCTCGCTCTGTGGCCCAGGCTGGAGTGCAGTGGCCGGATCTCAGCTCACTGCAAGCTCCGCCTCCCAGGTTCACGCCATTCTCCTGCCTCAGCCTCCTGAGTAGCTGGGATTACAGGCGCCCGCCACCTCGCCCGGCTAGTTTTTTGTATTTTTTAGTAGAGACGGGGTTTCACCGTGTTAGCCAGGATGGTCTCGATCTCCTGACCTTGTGATCTGCCTGTCTCGGCCTCCCAAAGTGCTGGGATTACAGGCTTGAGCCACCGCACCTGGCTTCCACCGTGTATTTTTAACAATTTCTACTGACTGGGCCACCTAGTGTTACCCCATTGGCCTGACCCATGCCGTTCTGCTCTTTTCACAATCTCTGCTTTCACACATTCGGCCACCCCATCGTGGTGCCATTTAGGAAGCATCTGAACGCTCACCATTTAGCCACATCGAGCATTGCCTGGGATCTTACTCTCTCTGTTTACCTGCAGATTCAATATTTCCTGCAGAGGCGGCCGTCGATGAAGACCCTGTTTGTGGACAGCTACAGTGAGATGCTTTTGTAAGTGACACTTTGACTCATTCCCAGTCCAGGCCCCAGGTGACAGCAATCAGTTCTCACTTGAGCTCTCACTCACGCCGGGCCTGGGACCACATAGTGGGACCTCAGTGAACATGCTGAGGGAGTGATGGAAGGCGCTCAATACGTACTCGGGGCATGAATGAATGAATACTGAGGGCCTGCTCTGTGCCAGGGGCCAGGGATGGAGGAACTGTGCCGTGGCTTACAGTCCAAGTGACATGTGCCCTGGTTCACCTTCCCACTCATTGTCCATCCATCGGCCGTTCACGGGCTTGGCCCTGGAATACTGGATGAAACAGACGTGGTGCCCGCCTTTAGGGAGTTTCCTGTCTTTAATGGGGGGTTCTGCAACCTTGGTACTGTTGCTATTTTGGACTGGATAGTGCTTAGTTGTGGTAGGGGGTGGGGCTGCCCCGTGCACCGTAGAATATTTAGCAGCATCACTGGTCTCTACTCACAGATGCCTGGAGCTCTTCCCCATCCCACAGTCTTGACAATCAAGAACATCTCCAGATAACGGCCAAAGGCCCCTCACTTGTTTCGGGGGTGGTGCCAGAATCACTCCTGGTTGAGAACCACTGCTTTAGGAGGAGGCAGATGAGTGAAAGCACAGTTATAGAACAGTGTGGATGGCCGGGCGCGGTGGCTCATGCCTGTCATCCCAGCACTTCGGGAGGCCGAGGCGGGCAGATCACTTGAGGTCAGGAGTTCAAGACCAGCCAGGCCAACACGGTGAAACCCCGTGTCTACTAAAAATACAAAAATTAGCTGGGCGTGGTGGCACACACCTGTAATCCCAGCTACTCAGGAGGCTGAGGTGGGAGAATTGCTTGAACCCGGGAGACGAAGTTGCAGTGAGCCAAGATCGTGCCATTGCACTCTGGCCTAGGTAACAGAGCGAGATAGCATCTCTAAATAAATTAATGGAACAGTGCGGATGTGGCAGGGAACCTCCTTCCTTCAGAAAGTAAGCCAGAGCCTCAAGCCCCAGTATGTGCCGAGGACTCCGGAATGGGATCTCGGCTCACAGCCCCTGTCCTGATCTCTTCCTTCCCGGAAGAGCAAGGAATGATTCTGAATCTCTTGCAGCTAGCTCGTCCGTAGGACTCACAAACCCCACCCTTTCACCCAATCTTTTTTTTCTTTTTTTTTTGGGGGGGCCAAGTAAAACTAGAATCAGCTTTATTTTACATGATCATGAAAGGTACACTTTTTTATTTTAATTTTTTTAAAGAATTTAGATTTGGGGGTACATGTGCAGGTTTATTAGGTAGGTATAGTGTATGATGCTGAGGTCTGGGGGTTTAATGATCTGGTCACCCAAGTAGTGAACATAGTACCTGATAGGTAGTTCTTCAACCCTGGTCCCCCTCCCGGCTGCCGCCCTTTTGGAATCCTCAGTGTTTATTGTTCCCGTCTTTGTGCTTGTGGGCACCCAGTGTTTCGCTCCACATGTAAGTGAGGACATGTGGGGTTTGGTTTTCTGTTTCTGTGTTAATTTGCTTAGGATAGTGGCCTCCAGCTGCATCCATGTTGCTGCAAAGGACATGATCTCATTCTTTTTTATGGCTGCATAGTATTCCACGGTATATACGTACCACATTTTGATTATCCAGTCTACCATGGATGGGCACCTGGATTGATTCCATGCTTTGCTATTGTGTGAATAGTGTTTTGATAAACACAGGAGTGCAGGCACCTTTTTGGTAGAATGGGTTATTTTCCTCTGTTTCCCCCCTAATCTTGAGATACCTATACTTTAGCTCCAAAAGCCAAACTCAAGAGGCAAGGTCTGTAGATTTAGCACACACTGATTTACCTGCCTAATAGAAACAGTGTTCTACATAGCATTGCGATTCTCCTGTCTCAGTGTTCCCAGTAGCTGGGATTAGAGGTGTGCACCTTGCCCAGCTAATTTTTGTATTTTTAGTAGAGACGGGGTTTCACTGTGTTAGCTGGGCTGGTCTCAAACTCCTGACCTCAAGTGATCTGCCCATCTCAAACTCTCAAAGTGCTGGGGTTACAGGTGTGAGCCACCACGCCTGGCCACTATATATCCTTTTATGTCCTTCCTTCCTTCCTTCCTTCCTTCCTTCCTTCCTTCCTTCCTTCCTTCCTTCCTTCCTTCCTTCCTTCCTTCCTTCCTTCGTTCCCTCCCTCCTTCCCTCCCTCCTTTCTCTCTTTCTTTTTCTCTTCTTTCTTTCTTGACAGAGTCTCACTCTGTCCTCCAGGCTGGAGTGCAGTGGCGCGATCTTGGCTCAGCCTCCTGAGTAGCTGGGATTACAGGCACACGCCACCATGCCTGGCTAATTTTTTTTGTTTGTTTTTGTATTTTTAGTAGAGGTGGGGTTTCTCTATGTTGGTCAGGCTGGCCTCGAACTCTTGACCTCATGCTCCGCTTGCCTCAGCCTCCCAAAGTGACAGGCATGAGCCACTGCGCCTGGCCTTTATGTACTATATTTATATCTGTGCTTGATACATAAAAAGAGTGAGACTTCGCACACCTCCTTACCAAGCCTATTTCTGCTCCTTGGGGATGATGCTGCTTCCATGGAGAACGCCTGGGCTGAAGGAAGCAGGACAGCCCAACCCTAGTTCCTATCGTGGCCTGCAGTCTGGTCCTCTGAGCAGCCTGCGGCCTTTTGTTCTGGGGGCACCAGGCCTCCCGGGTTCCTGTAGACACAGCTTTCTGCCCCTCCGCCCTCAGCTTTCTGCAGTCACTGTTCATGCTGGCCACCGTGGTGCTGTACTTCAGCCACCTCAAGGAGTACGTGGCCTCTATGGTGTTCTCCCTGGCCTTGGGCTGGACCAACATGCTCTACTACACCCGTGGCTTCCAGCAGATGGGCATCTACGCTGTCATGATAGAGAAGGTGGGTGCCCGGGGCCCCAGTGGGTCTCCTCAGAGCCCACTCACCTCGGGGGCGGGTAAGATGCTGTCCCAGGAACTCCGCCCATCCTCTCTGTCTTGCCTGGGAAGGGGCTGGTTTAGCCCCCAGCCCATTTTCCAAGAATCAAGCAATCTAGCCCTGACCCAGGTATATGCAGGGGGATCCCCTGAAACCTGACCCCTCTGCACACCAGGCCTCCATCTCTCGACCAGAACAAAGGCTATGGGGGAGGGTGGGTGACTCCCTCATGAGCCCCCAGCTGAGAACCAGCCAAGCAAACCCTCCGGCGTGTTCTCAAGATGCGCCCCCAGGCCGGTGCAGCCTGGTCCTTCCCTCAGCTCCTCCCGGACCTGGCCTCGGCTCTAATGAGCCTGCTGTCTCCTACAGATGATCCTGAGAGACCTGTGTCGCTTCATGTTCGTCTATGTCGTCTTCTTGTTCGGGTTTTCCACAGGTAATGAGCTTGGTCAGGGATGGGGAAGGGCAGGGGTCCTGTTTGCCTGAACCTCCTGAAGACTCTGCCGGGAGCTGAATGAGAAGCTGGTAGGCAGGTGCATGTCTGCAGGTGCCAGAGAGGGTGGACCGAGGACACACTGAAATGAGCCCCAGAACCTGGCCACATGATATATAAAATGCTGTAAGAATTTTCCAGGCTGGAAGTGCTGTGGCTGTCGCATAGCATTTTGGCTCATTTGGTTTTTCAACTTTTTTTTTTTTTTTGAGACGGAATCTCGCTGTGTCACCAAGGCTGGAGTGCAGTGGTGCAAACTTGGCTCACTGCAACCTCTGCCTCCCAGGTTCAAGCAATTCTCCTACCTCAGCCTCCCGAGTAGCTGGGACTACAGGTGCACAATGCCACGCCTGGCTAATTTTTTGTATTTTAGTAGAGACGGGGTTTCCACCATGTTGCTGAGGCTGGTTGCGGACTCCTGACCTTGTGATCCACCCGCCTCAGCCTCCCAAAGTGCTGGGATTACAGGTGTGAGCCACCATGCCCGGCCCTTCAACTTTTAATTTTGACATTATTTCAGACTTCAGACAAGTTGCAAGAATAGAACCAATAACTTCTCTACACTCTTGACCCAGATTCCCCCTAAATTACCACATTTTATGTTACCACTTTCTCTACCCCATATACATGCTCACGCACAAACATGAACACATATGCCACGTGTGAAAAAAACTGAGAGTAAGTTGCAGATGTGATCAGCCCTTTACCATGAAATACTTCAGTGTGTATTTCTAAAAGAAAGTTATTTTACATAAACACAGTTCAATGATCACAATCAAGAAGGTAATATCGACCCACACTATTAGCTAACCCATAGTCCTTATTTGAATTTCACCACTTGTCCTAATAATGTCTTTATCAGAAAATGAGAATCCGAGATCATGCATTACCTTCCATTGTCATGCTTCTTTGGTCTCCTTTAATAATTAATTTATTATTATTATTATTTAAGACAGAGTCTCTGTTGCCGAGGCTGGAGTGCAGTGGCACTGTGTTGGCTCACTGCAACCTCCGTCTCCTGGGTTCAAACAATTCTCCTGCCTCAGCCTCTCAAGTAGCAGGGATTACAGGCGCCCACCACCATGCCTGGCTAGTTTTTATATTTTTAATAGCAATGGAGTTTTACCATATTGGCCAGGCTGGTCTCCAACTCCTGACCTCAGGTGATCCACCCACCTCGGCCTCTCAAAGTGCTGGGATTACAGGCGTGAGCCACCATGCCTGGCCATTAATTATTTTTTGATACAGAGTCTCATGCTGTTGCCCAGACTGGAGTACAGTGGCACCATCTTGGCTCACTACAACCTCCACTTCCAGGGTTCAAGTGATTCTTGTGCCTCAGCCTCCCGAGTAGCTGGGATTACAGGTGCCCGCCACCACACCTGGCTATTTTTTTTTTTTTTTTTTTTGTATTTTTAGTAGAGATGGGATTTCGCCATGTTGGTCTTGAGCTCCTGACCTCAGGTGATCTGCCTGCCTCGGCTCTCCAAAGTGCTAGAATGACAGGCGTGAGCCACCATGCCTGGCCTTAGTCTCCTTTAATCTGGGGCAGTTCCTGTGTCATCCCTTGTCATTTGCAACCTTAGAATTTGTAATGAGTAGAGACCAGTGGTTTTGACAATGTTTCTGAATTTGGGTGTGTCTGATGTTTCCTCATGATTATAGCCAGGCATGCAATTTTGTCCAGAATATCAAGAAGCGACTTATGTCTTCTGCTGTGTGTTTTATTGGAAGTCACATGATGTCTGTCTCACTTCTGGTGACGTTAGCATCGATGAGTTGGTTTTGGTTGATCTGCCAGACTTTTCCACTGTAAAACTACTATATTTACCTTTGTAATGGATACTTTTCAAGGAGATGCTTTGAAACTATGTGACTAGCCTGTTTCTCATCAGACTTTCACCCAGGAGTGTTAGCATCCCTTGATGAGTCTTACCTGAATCACTTCATCCTATCATGATGGCCAAATGATGATTTTCTTTTTCTTTTTTTTTTTTTTTGAGAAGGAGTCTCGCTCTGTCACCCAGGCTGGCGTGCAGTGGTGCCATCTTGGCTCACTACAACCTTCGCCTCCCAGGTTCAAGCAATTTTCCTTCCTCAGCCTCCTGGGTAGCTGGGATTACAGCTGCCCATCACCATGCCTGGCTAATTTTTATATTTTTAGTACAGACGGGGTTTCACCATGTTGCTTGGGCTGGTCTTGAACTCCTGACCTCAGGTGATCTGCCTGCCTTGGCCTCCTGAAGTGCTGGGATGACAGGTGTGAGCCACCGTGCCCGGACATGGTGATCTTCTAACTCCATCATTGCTTGTGCATTTCTGACCTGGCATTCTATTGTGGAGAAGAGCTTTCCATTCCCCACTCCTGTGTATTTATTTGTATCAGCATGGCCCCATGCAGTCTTTTGTTTTCACGGATTCTCACTTTGTTAAATGGGTTATGATCCTGACTATCCTTTTTTTTTTTTTTTTTTTTTTTGAGATAGAGTCTCGCTCTGTCACCCAGGCTGGAGTGCAGTGGCCAGATCTCAGCTCACTGCAAGCTCCGCCTCCCGGGTTCATGCCATTCTCTTGACTTAACCTCCCGAGTAGCTGGGACTACAGGTGCCCGCCACCTCGCCCAGCTAGTTTTTTGTATTTTTTAAGTAGAGACGGGGTTTCACCGTGTTAACCAGGATGGTCTCGACCTCCTGACCTCGTGATCCACCCGTCTCAGCCTCCCAAAGTGCTGGGATTACAGGCTTGAGCCACCACGCCCGGCCTCCTCTTTTATTTTATACTGAAATTGTCTGAGATTAGTCACAGGGAGCCCCTTCCAGCTGGCTCCTGTGCTCTTTTGACATGTCTACATCTTTTTTTTTTTTTTTTTTGAGATGGAGTCTCGCTCTGTCACCCAGGCTGGAGTGCAGCGGTGCCATCTGCAACCTCCGCCTCCTGGGTTCAAGCGATTCTCCTGCCTCAGCCTCCTGAGTAGCTGGGATCACAGGCGCCCACCACCACCCCTTGCTGATTTTTGTATTTTTAGTAGAGATGAGGTTTCACCATGTTGGCCAGGCTGATCTCAAACTCCTGACCTCAGGTGATCAACCCACCTCGGCCTCCCAAAGTGCTGGGATTACAGGCATGAGCCGCCGTGCCCGGCCTCCATGTCATTTTTTGAGCACTGGACTCTGCTTTGATGCTCACCCGAGTCCCACAGTTGCCTAGTTCACATGGTACACCCTCCCTGTCCCCACCCTGCGGTTTGTGTTGGAATCTCTGGCTGGGAGGGATGGGCTGCTGTGGCTAGGACAGACCTAATAGGTGTGGGCTCTGGCACCTGGATCTGAAGGCCTTGCATTTCAGTAGGTACAGGAAGGGACTAGGCCGGGGGGTTAGTGGATACTGATAGGCAGCAACCACAGTGCACAACTGCTGCAGAGGCCCTCAGATTCTGGGCCACACTTCCCAAAGAAGCAGGCAGAATGTGGGGAGAGGTCATTCTGCTCTGAGCTGCTCCATGCTCATGGTTGCAAAATGGACCTCTGAGGGATGCAGGCCGACAGGGTGTGAGGGACAAAGCAGGTATGGAACCAGAGCTGACATGTACGGTTAAGCAGGTTGTGCACTGAACAAAGGTGGTTATATTCACATTGTACTAGAGATTTACATATTTATTTATTTTTCTAGAAGGTGATGATAAAGTTCTTAAAAATATACTTTGAAAATTTTTTGTTAGTTTTAAAGAAGGGGTGCTTTAAAAATAACTTCTCACAAAGTTATCGGAGACTGAGCAGGAGGGTGTATGTCAGGGGACTTGGGGTGTTGGCTTCTATCCAGTGGCACCCCGCCCTCCCTGTGCCCCGTAGCGGTGGTGACGCTGATTGAAGACGGGAAGAACAACTCCCTGCCGTCTGAGTCCACCTCGCACAGGTGGCGGGGGCCTGGCTGCAGGCCCCCCGATAGCTCCTACAACAGCCTGTACTCCACCTGCCTGGAGCTGTTCAAGTTCACCATCGGCATGGGGGACCTGGAGTTCACCGAGAACTACGACTTCAAGGCTGTCTTCATCATCCTGCTGCTGGCCTATGTGATTCTCACCTACATCCTCCTGCTCAACATGCTCATCGCCCTCATGGGCGAGACTGTCAACAAGATCGCACAGGAGAGCAAGAACATCTGGAAGCTGCAGGTGGGTGGGTGGAGTGGCGGGGGGTGGTGAGCGGCCAGGAGGGTGTGGGCTGCTCTGTTCCCTGCTTTACCCCGCTGGGCACATGAGCCCTGCAGGATTTGAGGAGGGGGCAGAAAGTCCGGCCAGGCCCAGGGATCCAGCCTCAGCACCTCCCTCAGCGGGCTTCCAGCAAGTTCCCCCGGCCAGCACTTGCTCAGGGTCAGCTGAGTTTAGCTGGTGTTTATAGACACCGTGCTTGGCTGTGGTCTGGGTGGTCCTGGAGGGAAGGAGGGACACCACAGGGTGTCCACCTCAGAGGAGCCTGGCGTAAGGTGGGCACCAGAGGCCAGACTCAGGGGAGCAGCTACCATGAGGCAGGGCCCTGACAGCTACATTTCTGAGCCCTGTGGGCCACACCTGCATCCCCAACTACTAATAATACGTTTCTTTCTTATGAAGAAGCGCTTTCTCTATGATAGGGACTATAGGACTGTACTAACTGTCTGTCTTACCTGATCTCATTTAATCCTCACAACAGTCCTGTGAAGTGGGTTCTATTACTGTTCCTTTTTTTTTTTTTCTGAAATGGGGTTTTGCTCTTGTTGCCTAGGCTGGAGTGCACTGGCACGATCTTGGCTCACTGCAACCTCTGCCTCCCGGGTTCAAGCGATTCTCCTGCCTCAGCCTCCCTAGTAATTGAGATTGCAGGCGCCCGCCATCACACCCAGCTAATTTTTGTATTTTTAGTCGAGATGGGGTTTCACTGTGTTGGCCAGGCTGGTTTCGAACTCCTGACCTCAGGTGATCCGCCTGCCTTGGCCTCCCAGAGTGCTGAGATTACAGGCGTGAGCCACCGCGCCTGGCTATACTGTTCAATTTTTGAATGAAGACGCTGAGGCACAGTGAAGTTAGGTGTCTGTACTCAAGGCCACATGGCTAGTAAGTGGCAGAGCCAGGACCTGGCCCAGGCAGTCTCACCCCGAGGCCCTGCTCTCAGCCCCTACCCAGTGTTGCCCCTTGTGAGCTCCTCAGGGCAGGGTCTGGGATACTCCGTACCACTCCTGGGGCTGCCCTGCCCAGGCCCGGCAGGCACCAGTGGCACCTGCACAGGTCTGGGCTGGCCGGGCTGTGCCCCTTGCATAGAGCGCCCGCCAGGCTTCAGAAACCAAGCTAGCATAGAGGGCGCTGGACAGCCAGCCCGGAGGCATCTGGGCCTGGGAGAGCCCCTGGGGAGGTGGATACTGGCAGCCAGGGAGGCCCTGGGATGCACCCTCTGCCCCTCAGCTCCTCTGCCCTTGGTGTCTTCCTGCAGAGAGCCATCACCATCCTGGACACGGAGAAGAGCTTCCTCAAGTGCATGAGGAAGGCCTTCCGCTCAGGCAAGCTGCTGCAGGTGGGATACACACCTGACGGCAAGGACGACTACAGGTGGTGCTTCAGGTAACGCCCAGGCTCCACCTGAATCAGAGCTTGGGAGCCTCGGGGCTCCCCTGTGGACACAGAGCCTACCTCAGGGCCTCCTGGGGCTGGTCATGAGCACAGGGGGCTCTCCCCACACCAGCTGTGGGCATTGGGGCTGTCCTGAGCTCCGTTGTGGGCATGCACGGGGGACCCATCTTCGATCTCGGCTGGTGGCGCCCAGACACTAAATTCTGGAAAATTCGAGGTGTCCAGAAGGGGTCTTCTAGTGAGCAGGGTCAGAGCCTGGCATCCAATGTGTAAAGTCCCTGGGCCTCACAGTGTGGTCAGAGATCACATCTTTGGGGATGGTGTCCAAAAATCAAGTCCTCTCCGCCCTCCCGACCCGCCTGTGGGGATGGGTGGGTTTCTCGGGCTTGGCCTGTGGGCAGAGCCCTCGGCCTGGGAAGCTGGGCAGAGCTCTCAGGCTCCCTTGGCCCCTTACCCTGCAGGGTGGACGAGGTGAACTGGACCACCTGGAACACCAACGTGGGCATCATCAATGAAGACCCGGGCAACTGTGAGGGCGTCAAGCGCACCCTGAGCTTCTCCCTGCGGTCAAGCAGAGGTGAGGCGTGAGGGACCGGTGCTTGGCGCCTCCTTGGCTGGTGGCCTGACATTGGGCAGGGGGAGCTTTGCAGTTTCTCCACGCCTTGCCGGGCTCCTCTTCGCCCCAGGACCCGGGCACTGTAGCAGCTCCTGACGTCAGCCATGTGCGCATAGTCACGGGCTGACTTGAGTGCCTCATGCATGCTGTCACCACTGACGACTCACTGGGCCTGTGCAAGCGGCTGTGCCAGCATCTCCAGCCCAGGCACCTGTCCTCAGCGCCCCAGGGGATGCAGCCCAGCCCCACCCCGCCTCCTTGTGTGGGCTGCCCTGCCTCCTCGGCCCTGCTCCTCACTCTGCACGTGTGCATGCGACGTCATAGCTCTGTGAGGCTGTGCGGACACAAACAGGCAGACGGAAACACTTGTCACTCATGGACACAGCTGGGCAGGTGGAGAAGAGGGGAGGGTGAGAAGAGGAAAGGGATGCCTTGAGCAGAAAAACTCCAAGGAGGTCGGGCACAGTGGCTCACGCCTGTCATCCCAGCACTTTGGGAGGCCAAGGCAGGCAGATTGCCTGAGGTCAGGAGTTGGAGACTAGCCTGGCTAACATGGTGAAACCCCATCTCTACCAAAAAAATACAAGAATTAGCCAGTCATGGTGGTGGGCACCTGTAATCCCAGCTACTCAGGAGGCTGAAGCAGGAGAATTGGTTGAACCTGGGAGGTGGAGGTTGTGGTGAGCTGAGATCACACCACTGCACTCCAGCCTGGGCGACAGAGTGAGACTCTGTCTCAAAAAAAGAAAAAATAGAAAAACCCCAAGGAAAATTACCAGAAAGGAAGCTGTTTAACAGTTACTGGTAAACATTTAATAGAAAACATTAAATAAATGTCTAATTGAGGACACTTAAAAATGAAGCAGGCACAGTTTATAGTGGACAAATTTTGAGTTATAATTACAACCCTGAACACTTTGTTTTTGAATTACTTTGTATTTAATTCTAAAAAAACTGTGGTAAAATATTTATCTCCTAAAACTTGCCATTTAAATCATTTTTAAGTGTACAATTTAGTGTCATTAAGTACATTTACATTATTGTACAACTATCACCACTATCTATTTCCAGAATTTTTTTTTTTTTTTTTTGAGACGGAGTGTCACTCTGTCACCCAGGCTGAAGTGCAGTGGCACAATCTTGGCTCACTGCAAGCTCCACTCCCGGATTTAAGCGATTCTCCTGTCTCAGCCTCCCGAGTAGCTGGGATTACAGGTGCGTGCCACCACACCTGGCTAATTTTTGTATTTTTATAGTAGAAACAAGGTTTCATCATGTTGGCCAGGCTAGTCTCCCAACCTCAGGTGATCCACCTGCCTTGGCCTCCCAAAGTGCTGGGATGACAGGCGTAAGCCACCATGCCCGGCCTTGTTCCAGAACATTTTAATCATCCCAAACGGAAACTCTGTGCCTGTGTAATAACTCTATGTCCCTTCCTCCCTGACCCCTTGTCCCCTGGCCCCTAACCTCTTGGCCCCTATTCTGTTTTCTATCTTTATGAAAATGAGACAGAGACGTTCGAGGTTGAGTGGTACTGGGGGTCTCAGAGGTCCAGAGACCGTCTTAACACCCTTAAATCCTCTGAGCCACTCTCTAATCACCCTCATGAACTAGCACAGCTCAGCTCTTAGCAAGAACTGGTGGGGGACTCCCCTGCCCCAAAGACTTCTGGGCTTCCACCCCCATAAATCTTTCCTCCTCTTCTCCAGGGCTCGTATCCACAGATTCCCGCTGCTTCAGGTGCCCAGCTCTTGATTTCTTCCTCTTTCACTCAAAGGCAATTCCATGCTCTGCTTAGACTGCAGCTCACTGCGTTGTAGTTGGGGCAATGGTTCCCAGGCAGAAAGTTAGGGAGATCATAGGGCTCCCCTTGTGATTTTCACTTCTCTTAGGAATTGCAGTTATTTATTTATTTATTTATTTATGAGATGGAGTCTTGCTCTGTTGCCCAGGCTGGTGTGCAGTGGCACGATCTTGGCTCACTGCAACCTCCTCCTCCTGGGTTCCAGTGATCCTCCCACCTCAGCCTCCCGAGTAGCTGGGATTGCAGTTGCCCGCCACCACACCAGGCTAATTTTTATATTTTTAGTAGAGACAGAGTTTCACCATGTTGGTCAGGCTGGTCTCGAACTCCTGACCTTAGGTGATCCGCCCACCTTGGTCTCCCAAAGCATTGGGATGACAGGCGTGAGCCACCGTGCCTGGCCTTTTTTTAATTTTTAGTTTTTAAAAATCTTTAGCCGCTAAGTGGGTGTTACTTGAAGGACTGCCGTTTTTCACTCTGCCTGATGTCCTGTCCCTGAAAAACACGTGCTGCATGTATGTTGCCTGGTTTTGTGATCGTTGGCAGCAGGACGGCTAGCCCAGTACCAGATACTCTATTATAGCTGGAAGTGAAAATCTATTTTATCAAAGGCTCATTTTTAGAAAACTGCTCGAGGGCGCCATCGGTTTTTCCACAGGCCTCCTGCGATCATGTGATTTTCCTATGAGTTTAGTTAGAAGCAATCCCTGCATCCCATAATAATGCTTATTGATGATCTCTTTGTCAATTGTTAACTGGTCTGTCTTTGCCAGAGAGCTATTCAAAGATAGCTTTGCATGTGATTTGAGTAGTTTTTCAATGTCACTCTTGTTGATTTAGTGACATCCCACATCTTTGACGAGATTTGCTGTTTCACTTGGCAGTTGATTTGTATTACGTTTGCACGGCATTGTTGGCGGTTTACAACACTGCACGTTCACTGTGATATTTAGAAAGGCTTTGACCCAGAGGCAGGGATATACACATCCATGTTAATTGGGGCAGGGATGGGGGATGGTTGGAGGTTGCCTGATTGCACCTTTATAATTTTTTTCTTTTTTTTTTTTTTGAGACGGAGTCTCGTTCTGTCGCCCAGGCTGGAGTGCAGTGGGCCTGGACCCCAAATCCTGCCTCTTTGGCTGGTGCTCGTCACCCAGAGCTGCCCTGGTGTTGAGGCACTCACGGGACAGGCCTCGGCATTGCTCTGTGGAGACCTCCTCTCCCTCCCACTTGGGCAGGGAGGAGATGGAGGCCGAGAGGGGCAGGCGATAGGCTCTCCTGAGGCTGCAAGCAAGTCGGGGTGGGATGGAGGAAGAGAATTTGAGGAACAACCAGAGTGCATGAGGCTCTTTGAGCAGTTGAGGGAGGAGGACATTGCACCGATCCAGGTGCCTCAGGAAGCACTTGCATGCCTGGGCCTCCTTTTTTTTTTTTTTTTTTTTGGACAGAGTCTCCCTCTGTTGCCTAAGCTGGAGTGCAGTGGTGCAATCTCAGCTCACTGCAACCTTGGCCTCCCGGGTTCAAGCGATCCTCCTGTCTCAGCCTCCCAAGTACTGGGATTACAGGCATGCGCCACCATGCCCGGCTATTTTTTGTATTTTTATTAGAGATAGGATTTCACCATGTTGGTCAGGATGGTCTCAAACTCCTGACCTCAGGTGATCCACCCGTCTCGGTCTCCCAAAGTGCTGGGATTATAGGCGTGAGCCACTGCGCCTAGCCTGGGCCTCCTTTTATCTGGAGACTTGGGAGGCCAAGAAGGCAATGTTTGTTTTGCTGCAAGATAGTAATAGTGTTTTACCCTTCAGTTTCAGCCAGACACTGGAAGAACTTTGCCCTGGTCCCCCTTTTAAGAGAGGCAAGTGCTCGAGATAGGCCCTCTGCTCAGCCCGAGGAAGTGCACCTGCGACAGTTTTCAGGGTCCCTGAGACCAGAAGATGCTGAGGTCTTCAAGAGTCCTCCCGCTTCCGGAGAGAAGTGAGGACCTCACACAGACAGCTCTGTTAACGCTGGGCCTTAGGAGACCCCGCCGCCACGGGGGGCTGCCGAGGGAACACCGGGGCTCTGTCAGCAGCCTGGCCTGGTCTGTGCCTGCCCAGCATGTTCCCAGATCTGCACCAGACAAGCTGTGGGAAGCGTTGGAAGCATGGGGAGTGATGTGCATCCAACTGTCCCTGTCCCAAGTGAATCTCCTAACAGGCTTTCGAGGTTTTACTCACTTTCCTAAACAGTGTGGACGGTCAGTCTCTACTGGGACATGTTATGCCCTTGTTTTCTTTGATTTTATTTTATTGTTTGAGACAGAGTTTCACTCTTCTTGCCCAGGTTGGAGCGCAGAGGCACAATCTTGGCTCACTGCAACCTCCGCCTCCTGGATTCCAGTGATTCTTCTGCCTCAGCCTCCCGAGTAGCTGGGATTACAGGCGCGCACCACCACACCTGGCTAATTTTTTGTATTTTTTTAAGTAGAGACGGGGTTTTGCCATGTTGGCCAGGCTGGTCTCGAACTCCTGACCTCAGGTGATCTGCCCGGCTCGGCCTCCCAAAGTGCTGGGATTACAGGTGTGAGCCACCATGCCCGGCCATTTTTTGTTTTTGTTTTTGTTTTTTTTTTGAGACAGAGTCTCGCTCTTGTTGCCCAGGCTGGAGTGCAGTGATGTGATCTTGGCTCACTGCAACCTGTCTGCCGGGTTCAAGGGATTCTCCTGCCTCAGCCTCCCGAGTAGCTGGAATTACAGGTGAGCGCCACCACGCCCAGTTAATTTTTGTATTTTTAGTAGAGACGGGGTTTTACCATGTTGTCCAGGCTGGTCTCGAACTCCTGACCTCAGGTGATCTGCCAGCCTTGGCCTCCCAAAGTGCTAGGATTACAGGTGTGAGCCGCTGCGCCCGGCCTTCTTTTATTTTACATACTAGAAGCAAAAGTAAACGAAGCCCAGGAAAACACCTTTGGGAGCAAAAACCTTCCTTTGATGGAAAACGCAGCAGCCCTTCCTCTCTGTATTGTGCTCGCTCTCCACGCTCACCTGCCCGGGTGGTGTGGGGGTGTTGGTCTGTACTCCCCGGAGAAGGCGGGGGAGGCCGTCCCACTCCCAGTTCTGGCAGATTCAAGCTGTTGCAGGAGTTGCCTTCTTCATCTTTCCTTACGATCAATCACAGTCTCCAGAATATCAGCTCGATTGCTGTTCAGGTTAAAAGTACAGAACCACATCCCAAAGGTACTTGGTAAGAGTGTTGGAAAGATCTTCCATTTGTAGGGACCCCAATCCTGCCTCCCCGCAATGGCACATGCTTCCACTCCATCCATAGTGGCATCCTCAAATAAATACATATGTATACATATATATCGTGTCAAGTGTACAGTTTGTGCCAGGTAATGGGCTGGCATAGCTAACTGGCTCTGTGTAGGCTGCTTATGGAAGCATGTGTGCACACATGGGGATGTGTGTGGGTGTGTGCATGCATGCATGTTTGTATCTCTGTGTGTGTGTGTGTCTGTGTGTATGTGTGTGTGTATGTGTGTGTGTCTGTGTGTCTGTGTGTATGTGTGTGTATGTGTGTGTGTCTGTGTGTGTGTCTGTGTATGTGTGTATATGTGTGTGTGTATGTATGTGTGTGTATGTGTGTGTGTGTATGGTGTGTGTTGTGTGTATGTGTGTGTGTATGGTATGTGTGTATGGTGTATGTGTGTGTGTGTATGTGTGTGTGTGTATGTGTATGTGTGTGTATGGTATGTGTGTGTGTGTATAGTATGTGTGTATGTGTGTGTATGGTGTATGTGTGTGTGTCTGTGTGTGTGTGTGTGTGTGTGTATGGTGTATGTGTATGTGTGTATGTGTGTGTGTATGTGTGTATGTGTGGTGTGTGTATGTGTATGTATATGTGTGTGTGTGTGTGTGTATGTGTGTGTGTGTGTGCATTCCTATGGTTGCATTCCTGCTATCACGCAGAAATGAATAGTTGCGACAGAGACCAAGTAGTTTGCAAAGCCTAAAATATAAAAAACTTACCTAAAATATAAAAAACGTACTATCTGCCCCTTTACAGAAGAGTTTGCTGACTCTTCGTTTACACCATAGAGCTTAAGAAACAGATGCTCTGGAAGAGAGATCTGTTCCAGCCATGGGCAGGTTGTGTTAATATCTGCGGAGTGTAGAATGAGTGGTTGAGTTGTGGAATTACTGGATGTTGGTTCATGAAAGGATGACCTTTGGCTGAGGCTGGGGCTTGGGCTCTACCAGGAGAGGTGTTTTGGGAGGAAATGCTGGGATCCCTCCTCCCTGTGCTCTAGCATCATGTCTGCCTCCACATAGGAGGCCCCACGGAAGAGCCCAGGGCTAGTGCCCCCAGTGCCTGCGTGTGACCATGGCAAGTGAACCCGGAGCCTGGAGGATGAAGGCCGCCAGCTGGGATGTGGGGAGTGTTTATGAAGGTGCTCCATGTGCATCTCCCTTTAAGTCTCCTAACAGCTCGTGAAGAAGTTATTATTAGTTCCGTTTTATAGATGAGACAATCAAGGTTCCAACAGTGAGTAAGGTTGCACAGCCAGTAAACACATTGCCTGGATTTGACCCCAGGCAGTCTGACTCCCAAGCCTGGGTCTTAACTGCTGTGTCAGGCTGCCTGGCAGAGAATGTGCTGGGGCATGCCAGCCTATCCTGGGCCAGAGGGAGGTGAAAGGGCTTCTCGCTTCCTGCTGTGGGCCTGGGACTCCGTGCTTTACCTGTAGGCCTTTCTTAGAAAATGTGTGGGTGTCAGACAGCTGCAAACTTCTGTAAATTGGATCAGCTTTTTGTCTTGTTTTGTTTTTGAGACAGAGTCTTGCTCTGTCGCCCAGGCTGGAGTGCAGTGATGTGATCTCGACTTGCTGCAACCTCTGCCTCCTGGGTTCAAGGGATTCCCTTGCCTCAGCTTCCTTAGTAGCTGGGATGACAGGCACCTGCCACCACGCCTGGCTAATTTTTGTAGTATTAGTAGAAATGGGGTTTCACCGTGTTGGCGGGGCTGGTCTTGAACTCCTGACCTCAAGTGATCCACCCGCCTGGGCTTCCCAAAGTACTGGGAATACAGGCGTGAGCTGGACTTTGGATGATAATGATGTATCAGTGTCGATTCACTGATTGTAACAATGTACCACTCTGGTGCAGGATGTCAGTAGCTGGGGAGGTTGTGGGCACAGCAGGTGTATGAGAACTCGCTATATCTTTTTGGTGTCAATTTTGCTGTGAACCTAAAGTTGCTCTAAAAATAAAACTGGCCGGCCGGGCGCCATGGCTCCCGCCTGTAATCCCAGCACTTTGGGAGGCTGAGGCGGGTGGATCACCTGAGGTCAGGAGTTTGAGACCAGCCTGGCTAACACGGTGAAACCCCATCTCTACTAAAAATACAAAAATTAGCCAGGCGTGGTGACGCATGTCTGTTACCCCAGCTACTTGGGAGGCTGAGGCAGGAGAATCGCTTGAACCCCTAAGAGGCAGAGGTTGTGGTGAGCGGAGGTCTCGTCAGTTCACTCCAGTCTGGGCAACAGAGTGACTCCGCCTCAAAAAAAAAAAAAAGAAAAGAAAAGAAACCAAAATACAAAACACAAAGTCCACTGGGGTCACTCTTGGGGTTTTGACAAATGTCTGACCTGCGTTTACCATTATAGTATCAGACAGAGGAATTTTATTGCCCTAAAAATCCTCCATGCTCCACCTATTCATCAGTCCCTCTCTCCAGCTCCTGGCAACCACTATTTATTTATTTATTTATTTATTTATTTGAGACGGAGTTCTGCTGCTCTGTCTCCCAGGCTGGAGTGCAGTGGTGCAATCACAGCTTACTGCAGTCTCAACTTCCTGAGCTCAAGGATCCTCCCACCTCAGCCTCCGAGTAGCTGGGACTATAGGTGAGAGCCACCACACCTGGCTCATTTTTGTATTTTGTAGAGGGGGGCTTTCATCGTGTTGCCCAGGCCAGGTCATGAACTCCTGGCCTCAAGCAATCTGCCTGCCTTGGCCTCCTCAAATGCTGGGATTACAGATGTGAGCCACCGTGCCTGGCCAGCCACTGATCTTTTACTGCCTCCATGCTTCTGCCTCTTCCAGCATGTCATGTAGTTGGCATCATCGTAGCCTTTTCAGATTGATTTATTTTACTTAGTATTATGCATTAGAGTTTCCTCCATGTCTTTTCATGGCATGAGAGCTCATTTCTTTCATTGGAGGATAACATTCCATTCTATTGGATGTACCACTCTTCTGTTTTTTTTTGAGACAGGAGTCTCGCTCTGTCTCTCAGGCTGGAGTCCAGTGGCACTGTCTTGTATCACTGCAAACTCCGCTTTCTGGGTTCATGCCATTCCCCTGCCTCAGCCTCCTGAGTAGCTGGGACTACAGGCATCTGCCACCACGCCTAGCTAATTTTTTTTTTTTTTTGTATTTTTAGTAGAGATAGGGTTTCACCGTGTTAGCCAGGATGGTCTCGATCTCCTGACCTCATGATCTGCCCTCCTCGGCCTCCCAAAGTGCTGGGATTACAGGCGTGAGCCACTGCGCCTGGCCGGATGTACCATTCTTTATCCATTCACCTAGTGAAGGATATTTTGGTTGCTTCCAAGGTTTGGCAATTATGAATAAAGTTGCTATAAATATCCATGGGCAATTTTTGTGTGGGCACAAGTTTTCAGCTTCTTTGAGTAAACACCAAAGAGTGTGGTTGCTGGATTGGAATGCTAAGAGTATGTTTAGTTTTGTAAGAAGCCACCAAAGTGTCTTTCAAAGTGGCTGCATTGTTTTACGTTCCCACCAGTGATGACCGAGGAGTTCCTGTGGCTCCACGTCCTCATCCGCATTTGGTGCTGTTCACATTTTGGATTTGGGCCATTCTAAAAAGTATGTAGTGGTCATTTTATCTCTTCTCTTTTTTCTGTCTCTCTGTTTAATTTAAAGTTAATAGCATTGACCAATACGTTGTATGCATTTACACTATAGCATGTTATATTTTTGTTTTGATCATATTCCTTTTCACTTTTCCATTCTTTTTCTTTTTCTTTTCTTTTCTTTTTTTGAGACGGAGTCTCGCTCTGTTGCTCAGGCTGTGTGGTGGCACAGTCTCAGCTTCACTGCAACCTCTGCTTCCAGGGTTCAAGCAATTATCCTGCCTCAGCCTCCCGAACAGCTGGGACTACAAGTGTGCAGCACCACACCCAGCTAATTTTGTATTTTTTTTTTTTGTTTTTTTTGTTTTTTTTTTGAGATGGAGTCTCGCTTTGTCGCCCAGGCTGGAGTGCAGTGGCCGGATCTCAGCTCACTGCAAGCTCCGCCTCCCGGGTTTACGCCATTCTCCTGCCTCAGCCTCCCGAGTAGCTGGGACTACAGGCGCCCACCACCTCGCCCGGCTATTTTTTTGTATTTTTAGTAGAGACGGGGTTTCACCGTGTTAGCCAGGATGGTCTCGATCTCCTGACCTCGTGATCCACCCGTCTCGGCCTCCCAAAGTGCTGGGATTACAGGCTTGAGCCACCGCGCCCGGCCTAATTTTGTATTTTTAATAGAGATGGGGTTTCACCATGTTGGCCAGGCTGGTCTTGAACTCCTAGCCTCAGGTGATCTGCCCACCTCAGCCTCCCAAAGTCTTGGGATTACAGGCGTGAGCCACTGCACCCAGCCTCTGTTCTTTTTCTTTACTAATGCTCTCATAAAACAAAACGGTAAAAACAGGAATGAAACAAAAAAAATGTTTTACATCATGCTATTGATTTATATATTTACGCTTTTTAAAGTTGATTTTTAATGGACAAATGAAATTGTATGTATTCACAACACACAGCATGATGTTTTGATACATGAATACAGTGTGGAATGGCCAAACCGAGCTGTCTCGCACATACAGCACCTCACTCTTCGGTGTGATGAGAACACTTAGAACCGACTCTCTTGGCAACTGTCAAGTCTACTGCTATCTCTGTCTTCGTGTCCTTCCCGCCGTCACCGGGAAGCAGGACGAGCCACAACCCAGAATCCACTGTGGGCAGCTGCTGAGTTCTCCTGGCTCAAGAACAGTGGTGGCTGCCAGGACCCTCTCCCGGCCCTTGTCCGGGTCAGCCTGCTCGGGCGTGAGGCTGGCGTTGGAGGTCTACCTGGCTCCCTCTCTCCTTCCTCACTGCACCAAAAGGGCATTTCCTAGAGTGTGTGAGGGGGCCGGCCCCTCCTTGCTTGCCCCTGCCCTACAGAGACCCCCTTTTCCTTCTCCGCCTGTGCGGGTGGAACTTGTGGGCTTGTTGCTCGGGCTTCGTGTCTGCAGGGCTTGGGAGTTCTGGGAGGCAGAGGGGGCCTGTTCAATGACGCCTCGTGTGTCCTCTGTG